TACTTTCACCGATGGGGAGGTTCAGAGTGTCATCAAAAAGGCGAAATCGTCTAAATCCATTGGCCCTGACGGAATAAGCATGCTGATGCTAAAACACCTAGGCCCAACGGGAGTAAATTATCTCACCAAGGTCCTCAACCTGTCGATATCCACTCTTCAAATACCCGATGTGTGGAAAGTCGGGAGAGTGGTCCCACTACTGAAACCTGGGAAACCCGCCAACAAAGGGAAGTCTTATCGCCCGATAACTCTCATTTCCCCAGTAGTGAAGACTTTTGAGGCCTTGTTACTCCCGTCATTCACTCACCACCTGAGCCTAGCAGACCATCAGCATGGCTTCCGAAAAGTGCACAGTACCACCACAGCACTTAGCGTCATAAACGCTCAGATAGTTCATGGCCTGAACCAGAAGCCACCCTGCGAGGGGACGATCCTCGTAGCGTTGGAATTGTCAAAAGCTTTTGACACAGTCAATCACACAACGCTACTTGACATAGAACAATCCATGCTCCCCCTAGGGCTGAAGCGATAGCCTATAAACTACCTGAGCGGTCGGCATTCATCCGTACTGTTTCGAGGTCAAAACTCCAAGCTTAGAAGAATTAAACAGGGGGTTCCGCAGGGTGGTGTCCTCTGCACGCTACTGTTTAATTTCTACATCTCGAAACTTTCCCAACCACCAGAGGAAATTTCCATGACCTTGTGATGACTGCACGATATTGACGTCGAGCAATGGATTCGAGGACGAAGGAGTACAGACTGGATCTAGACATTTCTGTCGATGGCATTAGAACTCCGACAATCAACAACTCTAAAATTTTAAGCGTTACATTAGACAGTCTGTGCTCCTTCACTCCTCACACGACCGCGATAACTGTCAAAGTAGAGACAAAGACAAAGAAACGTTGCAGGCAACATACAAGGTAATCGGCCGGACGGTCTTAAACTATGCTGCCCCTATATGGTCGCCTGGATGTAGTGCAACGCAGACGAAGAAGCTTCAGACTTGTGAAAACACTGCACTCCGGACTATCACGAGATGCCTCTTGATATCCCCAATAGAACACCTGCATAGTGAGGCCCGTATGGTTCCGGTTAAGGAACATAACGAGCTCCTTTGCAAGCGGAATCGCCTCCTAGGAACATTAAGAAGTCCTTCCTAGATTACGTCGACGACATTAGACAGTACCAGACAGACCAGATTTCGGACGCAACGAACTTTAGTCAAGCACTGACCGTCATTCACAGTGAAGCCATCAACACCTTCACCGACTCCCTCTCAGTGAATGGCATACTAGGAGTCAAACCACTACCCATAGCAGACGTAGAGCTCGAGTTGCCTCGAGAATCCGGAGTAACCCTCGCGCAACTTCGTTCTGGATACTGTAGCAGGTTTAACTTCTTCTTATCCAGAATAGACCCCGACATACCAAATATGTGTCCTGCGTGCAATGAGTCTCTGCATGATACTAACCACCTCTTTGCATGACCAACGAATACCCTCCTCTAACACCCATTTCGCTATAGTCCGACCCCGTCGAAACAGCTCGTTTCCTGGGCCTCCCGTTAGATGACCTCGACGACAACCAAACTAATGCTTGTCACTCAAGCGGGGACTAGATAACAGTTACAACAATAAAAACAACGTTTTATTGAGACGTTGGGGGTCGGTTTCAAAGAAGTATGCCTTTATTTTATAGAGGCCTTTGATTCAGACAGGCTTTTTAATTAGCACACCGTGCCATCAGAAGAGTTTTTCGTAATTCGTTTGCGTTTAAGGTTGTGATTTTTCTCTAAGGTCAGTAAGTAAAATTTTTAATATACATCAGTGTGAAATATTGAAAACGGGACGTTCCAAAGCTTCAGTGAAGATGGTATGGAACATGTTCATGTTTCATGCATTAGAAGTTCGAGAGAAAAAATTCACGCTCTCAGATATTATCGTGAGAATAAAACATTTGCAAATAAAATGAGATTTAGACACAAAAAGACCAAAAGAGAAGATTCACCCAGCAAGCGCTTTAAGATCCTTTTGCAACTTCCTCGCAAATACGAGCTACAATGCAGGAGGAATATGGCAGTAGGACTGTTAGACATCGGCTGTTACAAAACAGCCTTCGGGAAGGCGCGATTGGAATTTGTCAGACTGCATAGTAAATCTCCTGTTTCCTTCTGGTATTCTGCTGTTTGGAGCGACGAATGTAAATTCAACATACACGGGCCTGGGATAACTTATGTGTGTGTTATCTATTGTTCAGATAACGGGCAAGCTCGATTCTGTAGCATACCAAAAGTTGCTTGAAAAATATCTTGCACCGTTTTTGGAAGACTTACCGTTATCTGTATGCATCACCGCAGTTTTCAAACAGGACAATGCGCCCTGCCATAAGTCGAGGTCTGTGATTCAGTGGCTTTGAAACCAGGCAATAACATTTTCTTTCATTTTTTTTTTAAATTTTAGTGCACATGGGAAGGTGGGCTAATTAGTGTGCCACCCCTGTATATATCTAATATACAGCAAATTTCAATTGGTAATAATGTATTAAAATCGACTTTTGCGGATAACACAGCTTTAGATTGACGTAATAAATGTCCCATCAAAGCGTCAAGGATACTAGAGGGGCATTTACCATAGCTTTGATCGAAGAATGGTTACCCAACTGGCGAATAAATGTAAAGACTAAGCATGTTACATTCTCATTGCGACAAAAGAAATGTACAAAACAAATGTACATCACTAGCATGAAAATAAGAGCAGCAAATATAAACTGGCCTTTAAGTTAAAAAAAAAATTGTAAATTTAGCCTTGACAACAAAGTTTTGTGATACAACGAGGCAATAAAGCCGATTTGGATTTCAACTTTGGGGTACGACCTGTGATACTAACATTGATATAATACAGAGGTTTCAGTCAAAAATCCATAAAGCAAAACCACCAAACTAGCTATGCTCAACAAGAACCTTGAACTTGATCTACCTTTAAATAGATTTAAGATTTTATTACTTATTGTTAAGCTTTGAACAGGCAGACTCAATAAATGATATATAAATGAAGTTTTTGCATTAAATGATAATACACAAAAATCTCGAACTATGAATGTGCCAAACCATTTGTAGTATAAATTTTTTCGAGAAAAACACATAATACAAGTAAAATATTGATGGATTCCCATTGGTATAGTTTAATTACGGTCACATGAAAAATGTATTTGAATTGTGTGTGAATGTATAATAAAATCATTAATTTTGAAGAAGTCAGAATGTTCTAGTGGCGAAGTTCTGTTAAAGATCTACTATTGAGTATATAGAGTGTATTTTGAGTGTATAGCCATAAAATTAACTTTTATTTAACAATCCAGTGATCAAATTCAAGAGTGAGTGAGATTATATATTATAGATAAGGATAGAGGTATGAACCGCGACCTATGGTCTCTTGTTCCCTCCCCTAGTTCACAACGACTCATCTAGCCCCAGGGTTATTGATGAAATCCAATATATTGCTAGGTGCTAGTGAAGCGATGCGATCCCTGTTTGGAAACATGGATCCCAGGGCCTTAACTCTGCGTCTTCAGACTGCAGTGGAGCCCACTAGTAGGTGTTCTGGGGTTTCCGACTCCATGTTACAGAGCCGGCAGGTTGCGGAAGAGACTAAGCCCATGTTAAATTAATGCCTGCAATGTCCGGTGTAGAACGCGACAAGTAAATGGAATTTATTTCTCGGGTGAGTGATTACGGTTTTAAACCGTCTGAGGTCATAAGGGTTAGTGGGGAAACTTTAGTATACCATCCCACGCTTTCAGGGTTAATATGGGTATGGTTGGATAGAGGAGATTCTCCAGATCACGAATATATACAATTATTGCCGCCGGAAACTTATAGTTTACGAGATATTTTCATTTTAAGTTGAAAATTTCACAAATTATATCCTACAATTTCTCGATTTATGGTTAACTTTCCTTTTATATTATGCACTAATTATACACTTACACTTCACTACAATGTTTCTACATATATATTGTATTATTTTAATATTTGCTTTAAATAAACATAGCAAATGGGTTCCATATTGACAGATAATAAGTGTTGCCATATCTATTTTATATATATTTATGTATAGCAAACGATTTAAAATGAATAATAGAGGATTATACTCCAGTATCCGGCGGCTATAGATATATATATTCGTGATCTGGAGAATCTCCTCTATCCAACCATACCCCTCTTAATCCTGAAATCGTGGGATGGTATACTAAAGCCGACCCGGTTAGTGGATATAATAGTAAAGAAGATAGGAGTAACATTCTTTACAAATCGATGAATTACATATTGTTATTTCTTGAATTTTTGATCTTTAAATGCAAATATTTTAAACAAGTTAGCGGTAGTTTTAGATAGAGGTATACAATTATTTTTTATCCTGAGAATCTCCTCTATCTTCTAATACCCACTTTAATCACGAATTCGGAGAATTCAGTTGTAAATCGCAGCCAAAAAGTATATAATACATTATTACTCAGGGAACCTCCTCTACCGGCCCGTACTTCCATCGTATTTGGCGGCTTCTGCTCTAAAGTTTACTCATACTTAGGATAAAAGGATTATTTGCCTTCCCTTCTTTTTTTTTTTTTGGTTTGAGGAATGCTTCCGTTTTATTCTTTATATCATATCCATGTATGTATTCAAAATGTTCCATAACAATTGCATAGTGCAGATGGTTCATTATATAAAAATGGTTAAATTGGACAATTAACTTAATTTATAATAGCGTAGAAACTATATTAATATATTTTAATGTTTATCACAATCCCAATTTTTTTAAATAAGCTATTTGTGTCATTACAGAGCTATTGTTGGAACTGCATATGTATATGAAAGCATGTATATATACACATATGATAAAATTATTTATTTATTTACACATATTTCATCGATGATATATACAAGTTCATGATCGTTTAATTAATTATTCTGAGGTAATGTGGATTTACATATTCATTTACCATATATCTGCTATTCTTTAGAACTGTATACTTTGCGACAGGACCTTTACCACATTGCTGTATCTGGACCCCTGTGAATGGGGACATCGCCTACCGACACTTAACACCAACTTAGCAGAAAAATCATCGTTTTATATGGACGGCGGAATCAAATATATGTCACTACCGCAAACCAATTTATTTAACTATCGAACTATTAAATTCTTCCGGAAATCAAATATTGCAAGATCTTCTAATCATTGTATAAATTTACAAGTAACCAATCCTAAGATTTTCACTAATACACACGCAAAAATATCCCACTTGGTACGGGTTGCCTCGAAAATTCTACTACTAAAATAACACTTGGTACGGGTAGCCAACCAATATTCTGCTACTAAAGTCACACTTTGTACGAGTTGCCAACCAATAATCTACTACTAAAACGTCCAAATGATAGATATATGGTATAGTGTGGTGCCGTGTTATGTTTTAAAATTTATAATTTTAAGAATGTTTTTGTTCCATATTCAAACATTTTTCGGTTGTTTTAATTCCTAAAGATTAATTTTACATAATATTATTTATTGTATTGAAATATTATTAAATGTTTCCAATTTTATCTTTTTAAACTTACATGTTTATGTTTTTGTGAGTGAAAATACTTTGTCTGTTGAATATTTAAATTCTTAGTTTACCGGTTTAGTCTTGGGGAACCGAACACCCAAAAAAGATCGGTAACGCGCCTATATTGCAACCTCAGAGGTGGTGAGAAAAAGCAATTAATATATAATAATCTTTTGTTTCGAAAATATTCTTGAAAGTTTTCATTATTATATCCATTACAAATACATGTTCATTACCAAATTGTTAAACTACATCCTTTTATTTAAAACTCTGTGTCAAAAAACGGCATATTCGATCATGATCACGGCTGTTTCACACACATAGGAAAACAACTGATTCTTTGGCTATTTGTATGTTTATACAATGCTTCTAAGTGCCGTTTCACATTCGGACGCAAAAGAGTCTCATACCAGTTTATTGTGGGTGAGGGGATGACGAGGAAAGACGAAGGGACCGTGCCACTCGTGTTCGGGTGGCACGCTTTGTGTTCTTGTTCGTAACAGCTCGCTGCTAACCTTTTCAGCATTCCTTTTCACTTTCAACTCCTTTGAATGGTTGCAAGAGCGCTCGGTTTCAAATGAATTCGATCGCAAATTTGAGTTCTGTTATCTATTTTTGTATGTAATATGCAAATACGTATGCATAGAATAATAGAAATATTATGACAAATTGTAAATAAGGAGAAAATTAAGATATAGATTATGGAGTAAAGAAATTATGAATTTTTAATACGGAGTAAAGAAATTATGAGTTATTAATACTTAAAGATTAGGAAATTGCTATTATAAATTTGGCCTTGAAAATATTAGTTGCGGATATTCAATACATTCTTGTGGATTAGGGAATTCCCGTCTTTAGTATTTTTTTGAAACTATTTAGCGGGTAGGTACTTGTACTATGCATATTGTTCTACCATATTCATGGTAATTCATTGCAAGCAAAATGTGTGACCATCATCTCAACATACAAATGAAATACGCAGCACGCAGTGTTGCGCGGTGTTGCGCAGTCGAACCGCACAAATATTTACGAACATTTTGTGAAAAGGAATGCAGAAAAACTAGACTCGAGTTGCTGGACTCTTTTTGACCGTGTGAATGCCCAGAGCGACACCAAAAGAAAATTTGAAAAACATCAGACTCTTTTGCATCCCTGTCTGAAACGGCACTAATATATCGATGGTACAAAAGGTATTATAAGTGACACTCGCCAACAAAACAAATAGTTTAGGCAGAAGTTAAATACACGTTTCTATTAGTCATTGAATTATGAACTTCGCTTCTAATGTTACTATATGTCTCTTGTTTCATGCACTTTGACATTTGGGAAAATTTACAGGTCCCAGGCTTTCCGGGATAAAATGGGTAGAGGCAGATAAGGAGATCCTCCAGATCAAAAATATATATAGTAATATATAGCGCAGGCAACTTACAGTTTTCGATATATTTACGTTTAAAATTGCAAATTTCAACTATTTAAACTACGTTTTTTCGATTTTAAATGAATTATATACTTATATTTTTCACTTTTATATCCGCTAATACTTCAGTAATTCGTTTGAACACATTTATTTTACATTATTTAGTGCAAAAATAGTTTAATTTAATATTTAATTTATTGTTAAATTCTATTAATTCTGACAATAACAAAAGGGTTGCAAAATGGCAAATAACCAGTGTTACCTTATCGACATCTTTTGTAAATGAACTGAAAGATATAAAAACAGTAATACCCCAAATACATAAATCCAAAACCTAGATAAAAATATAGGGAAAACTTTAATTTGGCATCCCACGATTTCAGGGTTAAGAGAGGTATGGTTGGATAGAGGAGATTCTCCAGATCACGAATATATATAATTATTGCCACCGGAACCTTATAGTTTTCGAGATATTTGTATTTTAATTTGAAAACTTCACAAATTTTATTTTAAAATTTCTTGATTTATGGTTAACTTTTCTTTTATATTATGCACTTATTATACACTAACACTTCACTAGAATGTTTCTACATATTTATTTTATGTTAATTATTTAAATATTTGCTTTAAATAGGCATTTTATTTTTACACAATTTTGGTTATATGCACAATAACAAATGGGTACCTTGTTGTCAGATAATAATTGTTGAAAAATCCAAACGAATGACAGCAATCAAAATAAATAAAAAACCCAATTACCCTCTACAAAATATTATGAACTAAATTTTCCATTTTAATAAAAGAAAAAGGTTTTATGGCTTAAAGGTATGTTTTATTGCATCTAGTAGTTTCACGAATGGATCGTGATGCTGATTTGCAACATTTTTACGCCATACGTATTTATAAATCAAATTCGAAAAATCTTCACTGTTATTATAATTGTCTTTTTAAAAAAAACCGTTTGATAACGCGCCATTGGGACTCTATTCTCTGCGTGGGTGTTCCATCTTCGGCAACAAACGTATTGTCTGGATCGCTATGGTTAACACGTCGGAGCTCATACCCGTGACTGGACAGGCAGTCGTACGCCTTCCAACAATCAGTATATATGATGTTACCTTTTAAAACGTGTCTCTGAATTAAGGGTATGAGCACTTCAGCAGACCTCACATTTTCGGGACACACTTCCAGCCGAAGTTCGTCACTCCCATCCTCTACCATCCCTAGAACCCAGTGACATTCCACTCTCCGTCCTAAAAAAGAAATAATGAAATAATTAAGTATGAAAAATAAATAATAATGTATTTATTATTACCTTTGTTATATTTTCGTTTCCCGAATTTGCTCTCGTCTATTTGAAAAATTTTACCAGGGCCGCCAAATTTTACCTACCGCTACCTGGTGATCAACCTGGTATAAAACTAACGCTTCGCGGCAGTAATTGTACCAGTCACATATGGTAGCGCTGGATAAAATTGGCTTCTTAATAAAACTGTTCTTTCGAACCTGCGAATGGGACCAGTGCGATGCAGATGCACACATTATATAAAAAATTTGAGGCAGTGGTATTTTTGCGTTTTCAAACCATGTCCCACTCAACCTCGACACCGCAGTCCGTTTACGGCAGGCACCTTTCCGGCATCGGAATATGCCACCCGTGCTCCTATCAGATAAGGATACCAACATAGGTATCCTATGGGAACGGCATAATTTGCTTTTTAAAACCCTCCTCCTCTGCAAACGATATACACTTCTCACTAGTGTCGAAATTTTGGATTATTTTAGGGAAATTTCACATTTCCTTGATTTCGGACACTGTGAGAACATTGGTTTTTTTTACCACACCTCCGCTGGTTTACGGTTCGTTACAATCTATTTAAAATTCTTAAGTAATATTTGTTATAATTTTAAATTTCTAATAACATACCTGATGTATTTCCACTCATTTTCTCAAAAATTATCACAATTTAAATAAATATGTACAAAAAATATATAAACACTTGCTTAATGATTTATATGCACAATATTCACCAATTCAATTTGAATATGAAAATAATGACAAAACGGACAAAAAAAGAAACGCTACCTTGTTTAGTTGTAGAAAATTCCGTTATAGAAATTGAAGTTTAAAAGAGTGATATACCTTCTTTAACATTAATTTTTTTTGTTTAGATTTCCTGTTTCCACTAGCGGCCTTCGGCCGCGCTTAAAAAAAATATCCCTGGTCGGTCCAATATCATAATTTAGCAATAGAAGAGAATTAACAAAATTATAGTTAATGTATTTGGGGAATAATCCTCTTTTATTATTCATTTTTATTCGCTTTCAAAATATAAATATATTTGATATGGCAACACTTGTTAGCTGTCAACATGGAACCCATTTGTTATTGTTCATATAACCAAAATTGTGTAAAAATAAAATGCTTATTGAAAGCAAATATTTAAATAATTAACATAAAATAAATATGTAGAAACATGGTATTGAAGTGTTAGTGTACAATAAGTGCATAATATAATATAAAAGAAAAGTTAACCATAAATCGAGAAATTTTGAAATAAAATTTGTGAAATTTTCAACTTAAAATGCAAATATCTCGAAACCTATAAGGTTCCGGCGGCAATAATTATACATATTCGTGATCTGGAGAATCTCCTCTATCCAACCATGCCCCTCTTAACTCTGAAATCGTGGGATGCTAAACTAAAGCCCACCCAAAATATATGTTGATGTTAAGAATTATGTTATACCCTCTATGACAATGTTACTTTTTCTTATAGAACTTGTTTTTGCGTTGGCGGCCTTCGGCCTTCGAATTAGCGAAGTGTTAGTGGATATAAAACTGAAAAATATAAGGGTATAATTCCTTTTAAATGGAAAATACGTACTTTAAATAGTTGAAAATTTCAAATTTAAACGTAACTATCTCGAAAATTATAAGTTTCCCGCGGCCTGTCCTTCTCCTCTATCCGCCCATGCTCATTTTATTCCCGAAAGACTGGGACGGTATACTAAAGCCCACCCTGGCATATCTCGCAATGAATCACAACGTCAGAAATATATCCAGCACAAGAGCAAGGTGGAATGGTGACATCCATAAGATCTTCGGCGTATAAATCTGCATTCACGAATAAAACGAATTTAAAGAATAGCCGCATAAATGACAAGTAAACTATACAATATGTTATTAATTCGTAATTATCCATTTATTTGTTACAATTTAATCCATACAGAAAGTATACTGTTAAGAAGAAAAAGTTCT